CTCAGACTTCCCAAAATCCAATCATAAAAAATTTCATTTGCATTTAAAATTATGTTAATGCAAATAAGAAAGTAGAATACGTACATGAAAAATATATATTACTATGTTTTAATCTTTTTTAATTATTTCATAATTACCAATAAGAATTTTTTTTTAAAAAGAACAAAGTAAACAAAATCTTTTATTGAAAGTTTCTCTAGATACCTGATACTTTGGTGGTATTTCAGATGAATTTTCTTACTTAGAGATTCTTAGGAATCTCTACTTGAACTTCCTTAAAATCCATCTTAAAAAATTTCATTCATTTTTTCCTTTCTTACTTAATAAATTTTATTTTTTTTATTTTTTTAAATCTAATTTTTAAATTTTAATTATACCAATTTCATTACTAAAAGAGTCATTACACATTGTTATTAACATCTAAAATAGAAAAATGAAAATCTTTTTTATTGAATATTTTTCTAAATACTCCATTACTTTGATAGTATTTTTAGAAAAATATCCTGACATAGAGATCTTAAGAAATCACTACTCAGATTTTCTTAAAATCTCATCATCAAAAATTTCATTATCATCATCATTATTATCATTACTATTATTATTATGTTCGGCATAAATCTTAGCATAAAAAAATTGTTCTAAAAATAAATTGGAAGACAACATTGTAGATTACATAAAGATTACAATAGGCATAAAGATCCATCCACAAAAAGATATATATATAATTTAAATTATAATTGAGCTTTAACAATAAAAAAAAAGATGTGTCTATATTTATATGATACATATAAATTATGCATGACAATTAGCCTTATGGGAATGAGTAGATTTTCAACATCTTGTAACTCTTGTATGTAACAGGAACTCTAATAACACTTGGGATTCCTTATCACCTAGCTTGAAACAAATGCTACCATTTTACAACTTTCTATTTTCATCTAAAGTAAAAAACATAAGACAATGGAGTTCTAACAATCCCTAAAGCTACATGGCTTACTATACATGTTTTTTAGGCTTATTTTATTACACATTTTAGTCTAGTTTTTAAGCACTATGGTTTTTAGTTCCTAGGCTTTTTATTTTTATTTTTTAAAATTTACAGCAAAATATGAGAACATAAAGGATGTAACGCCTAGCTTGTACCTATGAAAGACAAATATACAACCTAAACTATTAATGATCTCTAACCTAAGAAAGAAGAAAAAAAGGCTATCATTAGAAATCCCTTACAACAGTCTTTTGGACCACACCGTGTTTGAAATATTTTCCTTCATGAAATAAGGTTACAAACATATTGAGTGCTGCAAGTACCAACGTTTATGAAGCTAACAAGATACATGTAGAAGCAAAAAAATGGTGAGCATAAAAGTTTTCTTCAACTTCCCTAAGTTTTTATTTACTACAAAAAAAAAAAAAAAAAACATGCATTTTTATACCATAAGTTTTCAAAGCTTCATAAGCAATAAAATGACATAACTGATTTCATGAAGAATAATTTTTCCTTCTTTCTTCTTTTTGTTATTCATGAGCAATAAAAAGAAAGCCAGCAAACTGGTAAAAAAAAAGGTTTCAAGCTTCCAATAATGTGTTGTGCAAAAAGCCAAATAACAAACATGGAAATGACAAAACTACAAGTTTCCTTAAACAAGCAAAGTAATAAACATGAACAAAAAACACCAAATACACACAAAACAAGATAAATGAGATGAAAGAAAATAACAAGAAATAAGCATCCAACAGAATATAAGCATATGGAGTTACCTTCCTATTTCTTTTTTTTTTTTTCCTTTATCTTTTTTGTTTGTTCGTTTGGATCTTTTTCTTTCCCCTTAATAGCTACCTAAGACCTTCATTTTTATTTCTAACCTTTTTACAAGCTCCCTCTTTTTCAATAAACTTCTTTCTAGCTTTTTTCAAGAGCCCCCTTTCGACAACTTCCTTCGTTCTCCCTTTCGGCAACTTTCTCATTTTTTCCCTTTCTTTTATTTTTTGGCAGTTTCTTTCCTTTCATTTTTTTATACGCCTCTCTTTTTTTTTTTTTTATCTCATTCTCACTTTTTTTTAGCTGTTTCCTTTCTCTTTTTTCTTTTTTCATGTCCCTCTTATCTCTAGCAGCTTCTCTTTTTTTCTTTGATTGACCTTCGTTTCCTAGCTTTTCAAGAGTCGATCTCCCAAAAAAATCTCATTTTGGATGAATATAAACCTTTGGATGAAATCTTATCCAAAGGTCAAAGCTTCTCTTTTTTTTTTTTTAAGAAAACACCTTTGGCCATTGGATCAAGATCAATAAAAGATCCAATGGTCCACATTATTCATTGCAAAGGTTAAATTTTTATATCCTCCAAACTCATAAAAAGATCATTTTACTCATGTGCAAAATTTTCTGTATTTAAGCCATTTTCTTAGAAATCAATGTTTCCATACTCATTTTTTAGATTTTAAAATAACAAAAATCATGAAATATTAAAAAATTGAGATCTATAAAGTTTCATGAAAATTTGAGCTTAGAAAGATCAAATTACGAAAATACCCTTATAAGGGTATTTTAGTAATTTTATATTTTTGTGGTATTGCTATGATTTCAAATGCACCAAAAATCTTAAAATATTATGAAATTAAGATCTAAAAAGTTTCATGAAAATCCAAACTCATGATGGCCAAATTAAAAAAATATCTTTATAAAGTTATTTTCATAATTTCACATCTTTCGAGGTACTGTTGTAATTTCAAATACACCAAAAAGCGTAAAATATTATAAAATTAAAATCTGAAAAGTTTTATGAAAATCTGAGTTTGAAAAGTTTAAATTACAAAAATACATTTTGAGGGCATTTTAGTATTTTTGTACTTTTCCTAGTGCAAAAAATTTTTAGTGTTTTTTAAAAAATCACCAATTTAATTTTAAACCACATTAATTCTAATTAGATTGTGACTTTTGAAGATTGACCCCCGGTTTTATTTATTTTAACTAAATTTTATGTAATTTTGACTATAATTGACTTTGGGATTTATTCGTTTCATTTATTCTTTATTTCTCATACATTTACGTGAAAAGATATCATTCATATAAATCTCATGTAAAAGAGTTTGACAGTAACCATACGGGTCTCTTTTTCTTTTGTTTATTATAAGTTTAAATCTCGATGCATTTTATAGACTCTTAAATAGGCCTTTTTATAGGCTTTAAATATGTTTAATTCAACCATGCTAAAATGTTTCGGACAAAATTTGATATCTACATAATGACTTCTTTTTCTTGCCTTTAATAAGATGTCATATGGTGTTAGAAGTGCAATGGCTGAGGACATTGGGGCCAATTCTAAGGGATTTCACCAATCTTATTATGCAATTCGGCATGGGAAGCTATTGGTATAATTAACAGGGGTTGGTAGCTAATAGAGTTCAAGTAGCTATAAAGAAGCAACTGGCTAAGATGAACTTAGTCAATGATAGTACTTGCTTTCTGATGTTTATAGGAGTGAAGCTTCAACTATATAGACAAATTTCTGTTGTTAACAGATCTAGTCTCAAACTTGCTGCTAGATACTTTGGTCCTTGCAAAGTATTAGCAAGGGATGGTCTGGTGGTTTACAAGTTGGAACTACCACCCATTGCTCGCGTCCATCCAATGTTCCATGTATCACAATTGAAGAAGTATCTAGGTAAGGAGCCAACTCTTAGCAAAGGAACCTATTGCAATTCTGGATCGACAAATGATTAAGAAGAAATGAAGTGCACTGATAGAAAATATTTTCCAGAGGATACTGTGTAAGTTGTAACAAAAATTTCTTCTGTTCAATCCTTGGAGACAAGGATTGCCTTCAGGAGGGGTGCACTATTGTGGCCTAGAAAATATTGGAGTTAGGTTTAGGAGTTATTAATAGTAGAGTCCAGTATTTTGGAAGAAGTATTTTAATTACCAGTTAAAGATGGTTGTTTTGTGCTAATTCCAGGATTAGCTACTGAATTTGTTATGGGATGCTGACTCAATGCCAGTTATGCGTATATAGAGGGGAGTGAGCAACTATTGTAATTCATTTTGAAATCTACCAAAAAGAATACAAGAATTCACTTTTTTTTTCTTTCTTCTTTTTGCTATATCTTTTAAATTGTAGATTTTTCTCATTTTCCATTTTTTATCTCATTTCTCAAAAATAAAAAAAAAATTTAAAATTTTTTCTCAAATCAAATAGAATCTAAATTTTTTAATTTTTAATTTTTTATCTCATTTTTGAGTACATCACTAAAATCTTAAAAACTTTAAAAATCATGTAATAAAAACCAAACATAAAAATTACATTAGCAAAAAAAAAGATTTATAAAATAAATGTTATTTTTTCTCAAACCAAAACGCGTCCAAAGACGAAAGTTCACAAGTTTCAAATCGGATAGCAATAGTTGATATCTTCTGTCCTTTTGCACGCTCAAAATTCTGATCATTCGCACTTGAAAAGAGTCGAAATCAGAACAGAACTCAACTCACTCGTTAAGTGTAACTGCCTGACCAAAAATAAGACTCTGCCTCTGGGGGACCACGTGGCCCCTTCACCCCCTTAGCCCCTCCCTTCCTGCTGCTGGTCTCCTCTTTTGCTTCTGCATTGAAATTTAATGTTCCGCATCAGTCTCAGCGCACGTCATTTCTGTGGCTTTTGTTCCGCCACACGCCGGGCCTTCAGCGTAACCTCGTCATTTCGCTACTCCCTTCCGAAACACACATTTCTGGTCTCATAACTCCCACTTTCTCTGGTCAGTCAGTCACCTTCCTGGCCCTCACCAAAAACAGAAAACAACCCCTTTACGGATCTCGCTCTCAGAACACCATACCCAGTCACACTCCGCCACGTAGAATTCCTCTCTTTCCATTGGTCCACCTCGATCCCACCCCTCCACGTCACCAAAAAGCTTGACTTTTTCCAGTGACACCACGACACGCGGACGATATCGAATACATACAAAAACCTGGGGTCGATGGCCAAACCCAACAAAAGCTTAGACGGAAATTTCAACCCCTGAAATCAAAAGACGACACTCTCAAAGCTCACGTTCCTTTTTCTCTTATTAAGTTCCCATCTTAAAAGCCAACCGTATATTCCAAACCTCTCATCCACCGTTTGATCAAAATCGAACGGCCAGTGTTACCCTATTCCTGCTTTTCTTCTATAAATATAAAACCCGCCTTTATTTACTTCCCCTTCTATCATTTCTTCCTCTCATCCACCGTCGACGCCACCGTATTAAATGGCGTCCGTCGCCCTCACCTCCTCCTGCTCCCTAGGTTTCTCACGTATTAAATCTCGTTCTCTTCCTTCCAGATCGGGTCCGAACCCGGTCTTTTCCCATCTGCTTCTCTCAAACTCCACTTCAAACAATTCGAGCTTCATTAAACCATTAAGTCTCACTCTCACTCCAATCATTCTAAATAAAAGCATCCCAACAAATCCCCGGGAATTAACTGTCAAAGCGGCGGCATCAACTCCAGCGGCCGTAACTCCGCCGTCGCAGCAACCATGGCAAGGTGCAGCATTAAAGCCATTAATGGCGTCGATTGCTACCGGTGTCATCCTCTGGTTCCTTCCCGTCCCATCCGGAGTCTCCCGTAACGCCTGGCAACTACTTTCCATATTCCTCGCCACGATCGTTGGCATCATCACTCAACCGTTACCACTCGGCGCCGTGGCTCTACTCGGACTCGGCGCTTCCGTCCTCACCAAAACCTTAACCTTCTCCGCTGCCTTCTCCGCCTTTGGCGATCCTATTCCTTGGCTCATCGCTTTGGCCTTCTTTTTCGCTCGCGGTTTCATCAAGACCGGACTTGGTAACAGAATCGCTTACCAATTCGTTTCCCTATTTGGATCGTCCTCTCTAGGTTTAGGCTACAGCTTAGTCTTCAGCGAAGCTTTATTAGCGCCGGCAATTCCGTCCGTGTCCGCGCGCTCCGGAGGAATTTTCCTCCCATTAGTGAAATCTCTCTGCGTCGCGTGTGGAAGCAACGCTGGTGACGGAACGGAGAACAAATTAGGATCCTGGTTAATGCTGACGTGTTTCCAAACTTCCGTTATTTCTTCTTCGATGTTTTTAACGGCAATGGCGGCGAATCCATTAAGTGCTAATTTAGCTTTCAGTACGATTAAACAGCAGATTGGATGGACGGATTGGGCTAAGGCGGCAATCGTGCCAGGTTTAGTTTCGTTGCTTGTTGTGCCATTGCTTTTGTATGTTATTTATCCGCCAACGGTGAAGAGTAGTCCCGACGCCCCAAAGCTTGCTAAGGAGAAGCTGGAGAAGATGGGACCGATGTCCAAGAATGAGATTATTATGGCTGGGACTCTGCTTCTAACGGTATAATAATAACATTAATACTCTACTAATCATTTTTTTAATCATTTGATTGGTTATGAATTATGATTATGAATGTTTTAATTATGCCTATATAACTAAGAAAGTATGTCTTGCGGCAATGGCAATCTATCAAGTGGAAATGTTGCACTGGAAAATAATTGGTAGTGGTCACGATGGTGGCCACATTTTAGTTGGAGAGGCTCTCCATTTTGTGCTACCATTTAAGGAAGTTAATCTGGTTTAATTGTCACTGACTCACAGTAGATGATGAATTTTAAGCTCTGTTAATTGTGGTAATTATTTTGCTGAAGTCTACAGAATAGTAGTTGAGTTTGACCTTATGATAGTGGCACACGTCTCTGTTGCTGGCTACTTTGTCTTTCCTTGAAGATCTGCCCTTAGCAAGTAATTTGCTAGATTACTTTTAGTGTGGTGTGAGAGAGATGCTATACAAATTAGGATTTTCAGGGAAAATGTAAATTTTGCATTAGGATTTTGGGTTTGACAATCTGAACTTGTAATAGAGACTCTCATCTAGAGGTTGGAAAGGAATTGAAGGAAAAGGTCTATTTCTTTTTTATAAAAGATATTGTTGTGGTTTATAAGTGTATATCTTTTTAGCACATCTTGGGACCCAAACTGAAATGAATTTTGCATCTCCAGTCTGTTCATGTGGTTATATATTTTGCTCTGCTTCAGTATTTGCATTTACTTCAGTTGTTACATTAATTTTTGTTGTGTTAGTATGAAATCCAGGAATGACTAGTTGTTAGCATTGCGTAGAGTGTTGATATTTGGTTAGAACTTCAAAATGTGAAAGTGCATTTTCGCTCTTTATATATTTTTTTCTAAAGGTGGAAGTGCATGGGACATTTTATTAGAAGAAAAAGGTCTTCAGAGACTTTTTCCATTGCATTATAATGTTCACAAGCCTTCCTTATGTACATTCTCTAGGAAGACAAGATAGAGGGTTTAATTGAGGTGGATATATGCATAATCATGTGATTGCTTTATTCACGATGCCTTGTTGCACCTTTAAAATAGGTGAGATTGTAGGTCTAGTGTAGGAGTTTGATGGGACAGTGCACTTTTTGTGGCAATTTTCTTAGAATTTACTTTATCTCAGGCTTTTAAGCATCAATAAGGATATGAGATACAGCTATGATCTTTTAGAGATGCACTGTTATGCTAATTCTTGAAAAGTAGGGTAAACTAATGGCAGCTTTACACTTTTAAAATAAAGTAAATACTTATATTATTCCCTATATTTTATTAATATTTGATATATTCTGTTGTTGAAAGTTTGCTACAGATTGATTTGATAAGTATTCCATATCTCTAAATCACCAAGAGTTCAACACATGGTTGTTACAGTTATAAAAATACCTCCAACCATTGTAATAGAGTTTGAAAAGTGAATTTCTCTAAATTCATCAGATGCATATAGGGAATTTGGATGAGGATTATAATGATTTAGTTGTTTTTTCCCCTTAGGAGTAATCATGCTACACCCTCTTGGAGAGTTTTTCTTTATTGATCTCTTCTTTGTGGTGTTTAAAAAACATGATCGATATTGATTCAAAAGGTTATAAAATGTGGTGACAGTTAGGTGTTTCACTTGAAGGCTTCTTTTGTATTTTTTTTCCCCTTTAATCTGCTGGCAATGATGTTTTCTTATTGAATCTGCCTTCTGGGGCTCAAGATTCCTTTGTAATCAGTTTTTGATGATTGACTCTGGTGGAAGATCAACATGGATTTGTTGCCAGTCAATGTGACTTTGGAAGTTAACTTTTGAATTAATATAATTTTAGAGTTAGGGTTAGATATATACCTTAAAAATCTAATAATAAATACCTTAAGAGTCTAATAATTAGGTTAGGTTATGGATGGGCCTGGAGAGGAGAGACTTCTTCATAATCTTGCTTCTAAGATACTTCTTAACAAGTAATTTGGTCAAACATAGAATGTGTCATGCCATTTTTTCTTTGTTAATGATTGTCAAATAAAATAATCCTGATAGCAATTGGTTGAGGGCGCCCTCATAAACTTGTAAAAATCTAGACAATTATTGTGCTTTCATATGATCTTAACCTTGCAGACTTTGGTAATTAATATGGAATACTTCTAAAATCTGTTAGCTATATGTAGAATCTTGAGGAAAAACTGCAAGCTGTCAGGTTTCCTTTTGCCATTTTAATTGTTAGCAATGTTGGCCTCAAAGGTTTTCATATTTTATTTCAAGCACAATGTAAGTGATAGGATTCAAGCAGGATGGGTGAGGTAGCGAAGTGTGTCGGGTATGTTGTATAAACGCAACATGTCTTTAAAGTTAAAGGTAAAGTTGTATAAAACAATTATAAGGCCTACATTGTTATATGGGACTGAGTGTTGGGCCATTAGGAAACAACATGGGAAGAAAATGAGAGTAGCTAAGATGAGGATGCTTAGATGGATGTGTGGTAAGACTAGAATAGACAAAATAAGAAATGAAGATATTCGAGGAAAATTAGGGTAGTCCGAATTGAGGAAAAGACAAGAGAGAGCCGTTTGAGATGGTTTGAACATGAGAAACGTAGGCTTTTATTTGTACCAATTTGAAGAAATGGGCTTTTGGATTTGGAAAAGACTAAAACTTCTAGAGGTAGATCATGATATACGTGTAATAAGAAATGATATGAGGGTTAAGGAAGTAGATGAAAAAGTTGTTTTTGATAGAAATAAGTGGCGCAAGAAGATTCAAAACTATGACCTAATATGATTTTTTTTTTTTTTCACCTTTCATATAGCCGACCCCAAAGTAATGGGATATAAGGCTTAGTTTGTTGTTGTTCTTGTTGTATTTCAAGTGCTTCTTATTAGCTTGATTCATACCTCAACAATATCAAGGTTGTGATTGCATTGCAGAAAGCGGTGCTGCAATTCCATTAGTTGGAAATGAATCATGCATGTGATAGAACCTATAGGTGCCTTGTTTTTATTGATTTGAATCCTTGATCCTGGTATACAGCTAGAGGAATTACTGAAATATGACTAGGTTTCTGTATTTTATTCAATTTTTATATTCCCCATCTATATTGATTGCTCTCAACTGATTAATAAGAAGTTTAATGCTGTTTTTGGTTGTATTACTTTGTGCTGTCATTTGATGAAATGGTTTAATGTGCATATGGAGGCCTGAATAGCAGGAGGTTCTACTGATGTATGTAAAAATACATGCGAGAGCTTGTATATTCCAATATCATGAGTCTTCTCATATCTTCTTCTGTTGCGTTAGGTGGGGCTCTGGATTTTTGGAGGGATGTTAAGTGTGGATGCTGTTACTGCTGCCATTCTTGGGTTATCTGTCCTACTTGTGACTGGGGTAGTCACATGGAAGGAGTGTCTAGCTGAATCGGTTGCATGGGATACACTTACATGGTTCGCTGCACTCATTGCTATGGCTGGATATTTGAACAAATATGGTCTCATCTCATGGTTTAGTGAAACTGTTGTTAAGGTTTGTCCTGTTTTCCTTTTAGTTTATTTTCTCTCTGCAATGTCGCAACTACCATATTCTACATGCAGTGCTTTACTTTTTCCAGAAAATACTTGTCATGACGTCATTTTTCCCTCAACAGGAAAAAAAAAAGGAAAACTGTAGGCAATTTTTATCTTTGTCTTAAATAATGCCAAATATCAAAATACTTACGTTTTAGATTGTGATATATCTAGTCTAGTTTGATTCTCTCTCTCTCTAGTTCATTTGTCTTGTTCTATTAATATTTAATCATACTACTTTGACATGTCTTTGAGTCATTTAAAAATGCCCTAGTTGTTATTTTTGCTTTAAGGCTAAGTAAGCATTGTTTTGATATTGCCATGTCCAATATTTCTGCTTTGGCGATCATACCAGGTACCTTTTGCTTAAGGGTTGTAACCAAGAGGTCTAACGTAAATTAAAATTCACGTCTGTTAGATGTATGCATAATTGGGTTTAGGATAACGCTTAAATGAATTGACATTTTGGAATTACCTTAATATCTGTGATCTACTCTTTTTACAGGTTGTTGGTGGATTAGGTCTTTCATGGCAATTATCATTTGGCATTCTGGTTCTTCTCTATTTCTACTCACATTACTTCTTTGCCAGTGGAGCTGCTCATATTGGTGCCATGTTTACAGCCTTCTTGTCTGTGGCTAGTGCTTTGGGCACTCCACCATATTTGGGAGCCCTTGTTCTCTCATTCCTCTCCAACCTTATGGGTGGCATTACCCATTATGGCATTGGATCTGCCCCCGTTTTCTATGGAGCTGGCTATGTCCCTCTGGCCAAATGGTGGGGTTACGGTTTCCTGGTATCTGTTATCAATATTATTATATGGCTTGGAGTAGGAGGCATCTGGTGGAAGGCTATCGGCTTGTGGTAAAGCGGGCAGCCATAAAATCTGCAGACAGAGCTTAGAATTTCCCTGATTTTTATTGTCCTGTTCACAATTTCTTCTTCACTTCCGAAGCAGGTTAAAATTTGTCTTTGATTCTTTACCTCGCAAATAATCTTGTGGTGGGATTTAGTGGTATGGTTGGAAAACAATACATTTGAGTTTGAGATCTACTACTTGGAGCATAAATTAGATACCATCTTTTACCACAAATTTTGGCTATGGCATTACATTTTCCGGCATTTATAAGAGATTATTGACAGGATTATTATTTAATACTTGCATTTTGTGAGATTTTAACAGCGAAATTTTGGTTTATGATTATGGGACGAGGTTGTGCCAAGGAAAAGCATATTTCTTTTTTGGTTGAAGCTTCTATATACTGGTCTGTTTCTATGAAATGCTGCTTGGGTTCTTGTGTTATAAATGCAGTCCATTTTGAATAAAACTCTATTGGAATTCTATACTTTCATCATCTTTTGAGAACGGAAAAGGATTTGTGCACCTCCGTTGAATGTATATCTTCCTCCCTTGAAAACAAAAGGACAAATTTGATTAATTGAGTGTATAATTTCTAAAAGGTCGGTTAATTAGTGCTTATTTTGTTAAAGGTTAGTTAAAATTTTATTTTAGGAAATGCGTTTTTAGTTAAAAGCATTATTTTCGCCTAAAGTCAAGAAAAGACTATGTTTGTTACAAAAATCTTTATGAATGCCACTTTGATAAGCGTTGATAGACCATTTTTTATCCGTTTTTCTTTTTAAAATACTATAATAAGTAGAGTATTGTTAAATGCAATTCAGTCTTTTCTTTTCATACTCAACTTTTGTTTTATTTTTTTGTAAGAGAAATTATTTAACTTTACTTTTTATTTCACATAAGTTTTTAGAAAAAAATTTTGAAAAAGTTATAAATCATTTCAAAAATAGATTTTCAGAAAGTCATAATTTTTCGAAATTAGATTTTCGAAAGATTATAAACCTTTTTAGAAATAAATTTTTGAAAAATTAATTTATGACTTTTTGAAAATCTATTTTAAAAAAAATTATTTTTGAAAAATTATAAAATTTCATAAAGTTAAGAGAAAGTTAATTAAGTAATTTTACTTATAAAAAATTTTGAATAAAAAAAATTGGGCTGTGAAAAGAAAAAATGGGAGTGCATTAATATGTATTTATTAGACTTGGATAGAGGTATACTTGATCGAGTTCAAATCAATATAGTATTAAGCTCGAGCTCAAGTTTGAGCTTGAGTTCCACTTGAAATTCGAAACTCGAAACTCGACTTGAACTAAATCGATTTTTTTTTTAGTTTGACTCGAGATAAAAATCAAATTATTTGAGCTCGATTGATTAAGTTCGATTAAAATATAAAAATAAGTTTGATTTTTATATTCGACAAAAACTTGATTATTTGTGCTTGAGCTCGAGTTCGAAATATTTTATTAATTAAAATATATTAAAATATAAAAATTTGATTAGGCTCACGAGTTATTCAAGCTGAGTAAAAGAATACTCAAACTCAACTCGATCGATAAGTCAGGTTATTCAAGCTCGAACTCGACTCAATAATAATCAAACTGAATTCGTGTTTTATTAGAATTAAACTCGAATAACTTACAAATATTAATATATCATCTAAACCTTAGGCTTGGATACCTTTTATTAAAATTTATGACCAAAGAAGTTTTTGGGCTATTTATAAAAAATGATATATTGGGCCATGCTTAGATTAAGATTTCAAGGCCTAAGCTTGCCTTCAATAATTGGCTTTAACTTTATTCTTAAATTATTTTTTTAAACATTTCACATATAAATATTATAGTACAATTAATTAATTATAATTAAAAATTACGTAAAATTCATTAAAAATTTACATGGAACACACACTTATAAATGATAGATCTTTATATAATTTTTTATTGTGATAAGACAAATTTAGAATTTTACTAAAAAAAATTGCATGTGATATGTTGCATTTTTTTTTCTAATCTATTCTTTAACTCTCAACCTTTATTTATTCAATTCATTTAAGAAAGATATTAAAGGCTTTAAGTATTTTCAAATAGTCTTTTCAAATATGCAATCTTTAATAGTTTGACCAGCATGCATGTCATCTAAGCTAATATTGAATTAGTTATATTGATTATTACTTATTTATTGATTGTTAAAGTTTTTAAATTATACAAAAAATTTTATAGAATTGTCACAACTTAAGTTTATATGATTGTTACAAAGAAGTGTCCATTCAATTATATTTGGTTGATATAACAAATTCATTATTCACTATAAAGTGAGCAAATTGCACTAAGTAGTAGTATTATTGTGTAATCATAGTAATTACAAGAAAAATTACTTCATTATTCATTTAACTAGTATATCTTCCTTTAACCCCTAGTTCTTAATAAGCATTTTGTTGATTTCATCCATTATTATCCTTTGTAGTAATAACCTCCTTAATCAGATTAAGAAGAGCTAAAGCATAGTAAATACTTCTTCATTGAAATGTGAAATTCCTTTCCATCCAAACAAAATAGAGATAATCATTCTAGGCTAGCCTGAGTGCTCACAGGGACAATCATTGCTTTCCCCTTTGAACTTGTGCTAACAACAACATCGATTTTTGATTATGATATGTTTTTTTATAGCTAGGTAGGGTTAAATTGAAAGGAATTTGTTAAGTACATGATCTCTCTCTCAGATTCTCAATTTCATAGTTGGTGAAGCATATAAGTGCGACTATTTATAAGCCTTGAATAAATAGGATTATCCATGAATATGATGATCAAACCCATTAATAAAAATGTATTTTTATAAAAGTTAAAAAAAAAAAACCCATCAAGATGAGACTTCCCATTTTCATTAGGAATGAGCAATCAATCAGTTCAATATGAAAAAGTCGATAATCAAATTAACCTATTCTTTCTTGAAAAATAATCGAACCGATCAAAATATTTTTAATAACCAATCATAATTGAATCGATTTATGTCAATTCGGTTCGGTTGATTTCGTAAGTAATTGACTTTGAAAACTTCTATTTTACAACAAGAAATATTTTCAGAAACCACGTATATTTCTATCATTTTCACATATCATATTTAACTATATATGAAAATTAAAAGAATATGCAATGAATTTGTATTATACCCTATAAATTATGGTATGTAATCTAACTTAAAAGGGTCAATCACGGGCAATTATATGCAAATCAACCCAACAAAACAAAAGGAATATTAACTTGGAAGCAATATCCAACAAAACAAAATCCATTTTTTTTCTCTTTTAACTAGCCTTTTTGGTTTTTTCCATCACCATCAAAACCACCATGCTTCTTTTAGACAAGGCCTATCATGATGATCTTTTCCACCTATTTTCCAAGTCTATACCCATCATATTCAAAGATGCTACTTTTCCAAACTTGTTTAAATCTCTAGTAGAAGACAAAAGTGCAAGTGCAGAACAATGGGGCAAGTTGGGATTTAGGGTTTTTAGATTTAAAGGGAATGGAAATTGGGGATTTCATATTTAATTGGGGTCAAGGTTATGATTTTTAGTGGTTAGTTTTTCCTTTAAATGGGGATGAAATTACAAATATATCATTAGATAAAAATATATTAAAATGAGTCAGTTAATTCAGTCGGTTGGATTATCAATTTTAGAAACTAATAACCGACCGACTTAATCAATTTAACAATAAAAAAATTGATTAAACTGAATCGAATTAACCAAATGCAGTCAGTTTTGATAAGTTAAATCGATTGAAAAAAAAGTTTTTCCAACCTAATTTTCATTTTCTTCTAGGATCAATGTTAGTTAAGTTTCCCATATATATTTTGCTTAATTTGCATAATTTATTTTGCAAGTAAGATAGTCAGTTCATTAATTTGATTAGCTTTATTAACACTAAAAATTCATCTTTATTATTGTATTTATGCCATTAGATTGAACAAATAAATGTACAGTTGAATTTCAAACCATTTGTTTTTTAGAAATTAGACTTGCTAAGTCTATTTTCATTGCTACTTGCAAAAATCATTTTTGGTTTCTCCATTCCACTTTTTTTTTTTATTGATGAAACATATATAAGCAAACGCAATAGCACTGTTTTAAAACTAATGGTTAAAACAACATTTATGTAAAAACATTTAAAAATGAAAGAAGTTTTGTTTTGATTGGAGCTTTGCTCTGCTTCTGTCAACAACAACGGTTTTGAAGACTTGAAATTTTATTATTTTTTGTATAAATGTTCTCTTAAAAGATGTATCTAGGATTAGTGTCTGATTTTACAATTATATATATGAGCAGGCATGGTTTTAAACTGAATGAACTTGGATAAGAGATAGCACCTTATTACATTGCTTGCAGCACTGGCTTTGACATATTATCTTATTGTTTCTCTTGTTGACACAACTTAATTTCAATGGCCAAATAGGTATTTATTCACGTTTTATGCCTGAGTATGTTGGAGTTGGGGTAGGTCGAGTTCTTTATTCTGAGCCTTCATTTTTCAAAGAAAAATATTACTTGAACTTTAGATGAGGTACATCAGTTTGAACAAATTCTTATTGTATTATACTTATCTAGATTCACATTATAGAATGCACAAATTCTAATGGCTATTAAATCATTTCCCTAAAGGAAGCTAGGTTAAGGTTTTTTATCATAAAAGTTGAACTTTGAATGAATGAATGGTTTTCACTTTTTATCATAAATCTCATTCTACTGCTTGCCTAGCATTGATTCCTTGATTAGGTGTCTTGTTCTTCAGGAAATCTGCAAAAATTCTAATAAATTCAAAGATTAAGCAAATATGACTACTAAAAGTGTAACACTACTTTTTTAGAATGCCAAATTTGGAAACTTATCACTATCACTTATTCAAAATGATGTAGAAGTTCTTTTAAGCTTTGTTTGGTAACCATGAAAATGGTTTTCGAAAAATATTTTCCACATTTTCTTATGTTTGGAAGGAGAAAAATTATTTGGTCAATTGAAAATAATTTTGAATCAATGGAACAATTAAAAGGGATACGTAAAAATTGTCTTCCATTCTTTTTGGGTAGAAGACAATTTCTGTAAAGAAACAACTCATTCTTACCTTATCTCTCTAAAAAAACCTACAA